AATATAAAAAAATGCCGATAACTAATTTATCATCTCGTTGGACCCACCTTAATTGTTTTATGACCCTTCGCGCAGAACTCTTCATTGCCAATTCAAGAAAGAAATTCGGATTACCAACACACAAACAGAGAATGTCTCATATCGAGAATATTTAACATTGAACATAAGGAAAAATTAATTATTTTTAATAATATGTGGAAATCTCCGCTTTTACCTGAAGACGGTCGCGAGACCAGAAACTCGTGTCGTAAAATTATGTAAAACAAAGCATAATATTTTTTTCTAAATAAATCCACATTACAACCAAAAACGTTTGCGCGGCACCTCTCTTCTTTTTTTAATATACATACTTTTCTCTCGTTGGAACCACTACTTATTTCTTTTATATATATATATATATATATATATATATATATATCTGTAAAAATTGGTTCACTGTATCGTGCAAGACAATTTTTCTCTCCAGAATTTATCTTACATATCTATAAGTCTACTATTCGTCCATGCTTAGAATATCGCAGTCACTTACGGTCTGATGCTCGTGATATTTACCTTGAGCTCCTTGATAAAATCCAAAGAAGAATCAGCAATATTATTGGTCCTGATCTGGCATCTCGGCTTCAGTCACTTTCCCAACGCCGTAAGGTTGCCTCTCTGTGTTTTTCATAAATACTTTCATGATAATTGTTTGAATTAGCTTTTCACTATGGTACCTAGACTTCTTGAATTTAAGCGCAGTACCAGAATAGCGTCGGGATTTTATCGCTTTGCAGTTGAGCTGTTTAGAGGTAGCCATAAATTCTATGCTAACAGTTTCTTTTCTCGCACTTCTCACTTGTGGAACTAACTTGCAGTTCCATGCTTTCCAGCCAACTTTAATCTGCAAAAATCTAAATGCAATGTCAATCGCTATCTACTGTCCTTCTGATTAGTCTTTTCATTTTCATTCATTAGTAATATTTATGTTCCTAATTCTTCCATATCCAGTAACTCCTTGTGTCTTAGTGGCTTTACTGCCTTGCTTGGGGTGATATCGTTTAAAAAAAGTAATCTACTTGATGAGTAAATGAACACGGACAAAGTGAGGATAGCAAAGAAGCAAGAAAAACGGGAGAACCCTAATCACCCAGGTCCTTAAAGCCCAAAGACGAATAACCAAAGAAGAATGTCGCTTACAATGGTGGAATTGACATAGAATGCAGGACAAGAGACGTGATTTTCTAACTCAAATAAATCATATATTGAAACAAACCAACAAATCAAAGAAGTTGCTATTAATTTTGTCGAAATCGACGATTGTTTAATTGACCACTGAAAGTAAAATCAATTGAAATACATTTTTTTTTTTTTTTTAAGCATTGTGCCCCAAGCAAGGCGTGAAGCCACTAGGATGCAGGGGGTTGCGGAAGATTTGGAGCGAGAGCAGATGAGAGTGATAAGATAAAGGAAGAGGAGAAGGATAGTGGGTAGATCAAGGTAATTGGAGATGTCGATTGACATTACATTTGAATAGTTGGAGATTATAGCTTTCAGGGAAACAGTGATTGGGGAGGGTGTTCCACTGGCGAGAGGTGCGAGGTATGAAGCTATTGGAGTAGAAGAGACGGCTACATTTGAAAGTTTTCTACAGTGTAAAAAAAAGGAGAGCGGGATGCCAGCCTCGTAGGGCGCTTGAATTTTTTGGAGTCTGGGAACCAGAGAAAGCAGCTCATCAGAGCAGTTACCATGGAAGTATTTGTAGAAAAGACAGAGAGAGGCGACGGCGCGTCTGTGAGAGAGTGACTGCAAACAAGACGCTAGATCAGGGCCAATTAGATTACATATCCTAATCTGGATCTTGTCAAGAACTCCGAGGTAAACAGAAATCCTTCCAGCCCATATATGGCAGCAATACTCCATGCAAGGGCGAATGGTTGTTTTGTATATTTGAAGTATCGATTCAGGGGAGAAAAATTTCCTGGCGCGGCACAGAGAGCCAACTTTCCTCGCGGTGGAAAAGCAATTGACTCAATGTATTTGTTCCATCTCAGGTCAACAGAAAGCGTGAGACCGAGCAGACGCAGGAGTTGCTCTCAGGAAGTTGACTATCAGACATTTTAATGGGGGGCAGGAAGGGTCTTATATGGTGGTTAATGGAGAGTAATTTAGTTTTTGTGGCGTTAAAGTTGACCAGCCAATTCTTGCCCCAGTTAACAACCGATTGGAGGTCCATTTCAAGACGCACGGCAAGGTTAGTTTTGTTGCCGACACTAGACTTGTTTTTGAGGCAGGAGTAAATTGTAGTGTCGTCTGCATAGATGCCTACTTGGGAATCTATAGCTATAGCTTCAGGAAGGTCAAAGTCATTTGCATGAGTGGAAAACCCGAAAAGCAGATGGCAATAAATGAGTATAAATGTATAAATAAAAATGCTAAGCAGTTTAAAAATGGTAGAAAATTCTACTTTAATTTTTCGACACTTAGGAAATATCTTACAATATTTCTTTTTATACCGACCTTCAGAGAAAACTCGGAAATTATGAAACTAGTAGATTAGTAAAATTCAGAATTCTTATTTAAGTGAAAGTATCGTCATCCAGTGATTGTTACCAAAAACGACGTAAAGGCAGTCGTACTCTTTGGAGTAAGGGAACACATGAGCGACAGTTTTTATCGGATTGTCATCCAGTGACAAAAATAATTCTTGGCATATGGAATATCAGAACATTAAATCAATTTGGCTTAGTAGAAAATGTAAAGCAGGAAAGGAACAGGTTAAATTTTAATATTTTAAGCGTATATGATGCGAGGTTGGTAAACAATGGAGCTTTCGTCAGTGACAAACAGAATCATATATTCAGGCGGAGAGAAAAAAATGAAAGAGGAGTAGGACTGATATTAGAACAAGACATGAAAAAATGGGCTACGTTCAATTCACTGAAATAAATTTTGTCGTTACACTGAAATGGAATCCTTTCAACATATCCATCATAGTCGTATATGTATTATTGGCACAACATAGAGAAGAAATTGAACAGTTTTACTCTACGCTAGACAGCGCCAAGGCTCAATCTAAATCGTATGAAATTAAAATTGCCATGGGAGACCTGAATGCAAAAGTAGGCAAAGAGGGAGATGGTCAAATAGCTGGCAAATTCGGATTAGGAACTTGTAATGAAGGCGGAGAAAAATAGATCCAATTCTGTATGGCGAATGATAAGGTTGTAGCCAACATCTTGCTTCAAGAACACCTAAGACGATTATGGACATGGAGAAGCCCAGGAGGAAAAAAAAATCAAAATAAAAAAGAAATCGACTACCTTAATTCCCCTATGTATAATACGCATTTTTTATCTAAAAAATAATAAGCAAAATCAGGGGTGCGTATTATGCACAGCTACAAAAAATGTTTTAAAAATTGCCGTAAAATAAAAAAATTATCATAAAACTAAATTAGAATAATATTATCCCATGTTTATAAACATTTTTTGTAAATGAGTAGGAAACGCTGGGTGTAATGAAATTGGAGAGTTACAATTTATAGGGCTTGATTACCAAACAAGGTGTGCGTATTATGCGTCAGTAGAAACATTTTCCCACAATTTTAGCACAATTTTAGGGGTGCGTATTATGGATGAAGGCGTATTATACATGGGAACTTACGGTATATAACTATCTACCGTCTTTGTGAATTTTGGGGAGACCGTGTATCTATCGTGAGAGAAAAATTCAAAATAAAAAGGACACTTATACTTAACAACAGTAAGTGACAGTTAACATTTCTAGGGCACATAATGAGGAAAGAGGGCTTGGAAAACGTGATACTCACAGTACAAATTGAAAGCAGAGAGACGTATCTCATACCTTTCGTGAATCGATGGCAGAACTATAGTTTAAGAGAGATAACAAAAATACAAAGGTTATTTAGAGCTACAAAGGACAGGAAATTGTGGAGAGATCTGATCGCCAACGTCATGAATGAACACGGCACATAGAAGTCGATATATATATATATATATATATATATATATATATATATATATATGAAGAAATATAGTCTTAAGGTGTGCTATATTTTTTTGAGATAAAGTGCTCGATATCAGAGATAGAGCGTGTGTAAATATAAAAAGTGAACATAGAAATCAAAATTAAGATTGATTGACATGCATAGCATTGAAACAGATTGTTTGCATCCTTTAAGTGTTGACTTTTATGACAACTTTTATATATATATATATATATATATATATATATATATATATATATATATATATATATAAAAGCAGTTAGAGACGTAATAATTACTGAAATTGCAACCTGTTACGGGAACAAACTTTAGAAAATTTATTTAAAACAATGCGGATATTGCTTTAGACAATGCATCAAGGTAGTATTTATAAAAACTAAAGTTATCCACACCATTCACAGGTATAGATAATTGTTCTGCACTAAATATTGATGATTGTCAAATTGTGTATGAATAAGTTTGTGTATTTGAACCCGTTTGTAATGCAAATCATGAGAGCAATTGGAGTGCGTATTTCTGAGCGGCCAGAGAAACGGGAAGAATTGTAAATGAAGAAAAATCGATTTCTAACTTTGTGTTAAGTCGATCAAGCGATATTAATGGTTGTTGGAATACCCGAAACTCTTTTTGAAGACGAGACGTACAGAGAATCGTGGCTAACGACAATTCCTAGAAAAGTGCTTAAAGAACAGCGAAGGTAAAAGCAGCAGACGTAGGTGTCATATGAAAAGAGTTGATGGCGATAGGCTATTATAAAAAAGGCAATGACGGCATCGACAGTTATAGCAGATTGAGATGCTTTCTTTCCAGACATGAATCATATGAAAAATAAGACTAAAAGAGAGAGAGAGAGAGAGAGAGAGAGAGAGAGAGAGAGAGATAAAGAGGGAGATAGAGAAAGAGAGAAAGAGAGAGTGAGAAAGATATATATATATATATAAAGAAATAGAGAGAGAGAGAAAGAGAGAGAAAGAGATAAAGAGAAAGAGAAAATTTAAAAAAGAGATAGAAATATCAAAGAACAGATAGAGAGAGATAGAAAAAGAGATAGAGAGAGAAAGAGAGAGAATGATATATATATAGAGAGAAAGAAATAGAGAGAGAGAGATAGAAAGAAAGATGTAGAGAGAGAGAGAGATAGAGAGAGAAAGAGAGATAGAGAAAGAGTGAGATAGAGAGATAGAGAAAGAGAGATAAAGAGCGCGAGAAAGAGAGACAGAGAGAGGGGGAAGGGCAGAGAGAGTGTAAGAGGCAAGTTAAAATTCAAAGTAAAATTTCCGAAAAATAAAACTTCTTGTAAAATATTTAAATTTTTTGTAGAAATCTAGTTGAGATGATTGAAAAAAAATATATCCTTTATTCGTGTCGTACACAAATATTCTGTGGTCATTCGAAATTAAGGTTTAGTTTGTTTTGTTTTACGGTATATCAACCTCAATAGGTTATTTAATGCCGACAAGATTTTTATTGCTGGTAATATTTTTCCAGAAATGTACTGCTGGTAATATTTTTTTCTTAAAAAATTTATTGCTGCTAATATTTTTTAACAAAATGTATTGCTGTTAATATTTTTTCCAAAAATGTATTGCTTGCTGGTAACACTTTTTTCTTCAAAAAAATAATTGCTGCTAATATTTTTTTCTTCAAAAATGTATTGCTGGGATTAAAACCTATTTTACACTTTCATAGTGCTTTGACCTAAGTTTGGGGGTCAACTATTTGGCCATAACTGAGACCCTAACTGAGATCCTAACTGGGGTCAGGGTGGACATCGGAACACCAGAAATTAAGAGGAGGTTCCACGCACCTCAAAACCTCCGGATCAGAGGCCTTGCTGTTGGATGTAGTTTATCGTCATACCCAGGAAAGCGGAAATTAAGAAATGTTTATAAAAATCATTTAGTGTCAACTGAGTGTTCGTAATTAGGAAAAAATTGAGAATGTCTAAAGACAAATGCAAAACTTTATAAAATATTTAGAGAACCAGTCGAAGACGTATTTTTAGAATTTAATACAAATTTTGTGTTAATACATGTATAAAAAGACATTTATATACATATATTTTCACACGTATCTACACGCAAATCAGATAAACGCAAAGAGTCTGGGTCGCCTGCCATAAGCCGATGGTGAACAAATTCTTCTTGCAGACAACTGCTAAATTAGCGTGTATGGTTAAGTTGAACATATCGCATACGCACCGTAGAGATGATATTGATAGGCTCGATACGAAAATAACATCTTTTTGCTGCTTCCGAACAGTAGAGGAAATATTTAACTGCTTTTACACAGAAATAGAATGCAAGTCCGTTTTTAGTGTGATAACGAAGTGACATTTGTCTATGGGTAGATTCGAAAATATCCTAGTTTCAGATATATTTCTGCAGACATTAGGGCGTAAACCTGAGCTTAACCTATTCGTGTAATGCGGGGGTGTTGGCACTGGAAACTAATTTCCGGGAACCACACTCGCTTTATAGTTGAGTTACGGTTAGATATTAAAAGTTATCAAAAGTTTAGGAATCTAAGTATTAACGTCAGATATCACGTGAAGACAGAAACACAAGAACATTAGACGTTGTATAATACCATATCGTAAGACAATTTGATATATGTCATGCTATGCTGAAAAAAAAAGTTTGAATAAAGTAACTATAAACAATTTTTTTTTGCTATTCTCTACCAGCCTCAATGGTGGAGAAAGCATTACCTCGAACCATCGCCAGTGAGACACGCTGCAATCGCCACTCCGTTTCGCGAGGCTCGTCCCTTAATCGAGACGCAATCGCGCCAATCCTCCGAAGGAACGCCATCGAACGAGGGCCAATAACCCCTGGAGTCTCCACTGCCACAGGAGTAAAAAAATCTATCAGCAAGAGAAGAATATTTAAATATATGCTATACTTTTTGGCATAACGCTGATCGAAGACGCATTCGTATCTTCCACAAATGCAAAATAATGCATCTAAAGATCGTTGTTGATATTAAGAAAAAAATAGCTGCGTTTTTTCTTTAATCCACGTAATAAAAGAATATCGGCAAAAACAATATAAAAACAAAGATGCTATTTTTGATTCTTCGTCAATGGAAGTTCAAGTGACCAAATGCCATCTGAACATGTGTCTCGAAAAAAAAGTCGACGAATGATCAAAACAGAACTATAAAGCCCTGAAAAGTTGATATTTGTATAGATCGACATTAAGGTCAACTGATAGATGCATATACAAAGCAAAAATATACCTACAAAAATATATTGATGTATTTTGTAGATCAAAATTAGTTCTTTATTAGAGAAACGTTTTTAGACAATGCGTTATATCCAGTTCTTTGCTAAAATCTAGAATTTAACTGGTCAGAAAATTTAAACATAATTTCTCGAACGGCGGATAATTTGTCTTATTTTTATGAAAATTTAATATGATGAAAACAGTGTTAAGGGGCAAGTTGAGCACGCTCATATTGTAGGACAGTGTGGCTAGAACGTTCTCATTTTAACCATGGGACCCGGGTTCGAATTACACCATGGTCGATTTGTCAGAAAGTTTTGGTTTGGTTTGCTTTTAGGCATATCAACCTCAGTGGATTATTTAATTCCGACAGTTTTTTTATTTTTTTTTTTTTTTTTTTACTGGTAATATTTTTTTCCAAAAATTTATTTCTGGTAATATTTTTTTCCCCCAAAATGTATTTCTGGTAATCTTTTTTTTCAAAATTGTGTTTCTGGTAATATTTTTTTTCCAAAAATATATTTCTGGAATAATTTTTTTCCAAAAATTTATTTCTGGCAATATTTTTTTCCAAAAATGTATTTCTGGTAATATTTTTTTTTTCAAAAACTTATTACTGCTAATATATTTTTTCCAAAAATGTATTGCTGGTAATAATGTATTTCTGGTAATATATTTTGACAAGAAGTATTTCTGATATTAACTCCATGAGATCGCTAAAAAAAAAAAGAGCATGGCATGATGAAAAAGACGCCAAACTTGACGAAAACAAAATCGTCTAAATGTTTGTTATTATTATGAGGAAAGACCAAAGTCTTTTTAATTATTTTAAAATGTTTTTCCTTCTTTTTAGAATACTCTAAATTTTGATTAAAAAAAAATGTTTCTCTTTGTATCACCGGAACTAGTAAAATAACATAAAACTTTTAGCGCGTTTTTTTTTTTTTTTTTTTGGATGACACACATTAATTTTGAAAATCTTGCAAAAATAAAAATAATTTTTGGATGTTTATGAAATTTTCAGAAACTATTCATAGATGATGGAAATTATTATAAATATGTTTTTTTTTTTATTAAAGTCATGGCAGAAATATTTTTTTATATTTATTACCCCCATAACTAATTTTATGAAAACTCTAGAAATTCAATCGAATACAGTTTAGTGATTACAATAGTTAAAAGTACAAGGCTTTGAGGAATGCAAATCATGTCCTTTTTTTAATTGGACTCACTAAATTAATTAGATACCTTTCTTATGAAATTTAATCTCACTCTTAACAGTCTTATTTTAATTTCTTTATAATATATTTTCCATAAAGCATCGTAAATGTAAATCTAAGTACAATTTTTTCCTTAAAAATAACGAGGTAAATAATTTGTACAATTAAATCTAAAATAATTTCGATTTTCTTCTTCCGTAGAACAAATTATCCACCCGTAATCCGTTAATACGTCATTCATCACCTGTCAAGTGACGCGAAAGTTTATGACCTGCTTTGTTTTATTTTCAAACTACATCTTTTCGGCGCAGAAGCTAAGTTAAGCTTGGCTCAAAATATTTTAAATAAACATTATAATTTCTGATATTCTTAAAATAAGTTTTGAAAAAAAGGTAATTGATTTTTAAAAGAATTTCAAACTGAGATTTTCTTTTTTTTATAAAATGGAAAAAAATGGTTTTCCATGATTGATTATCTGTCAATTTTGCTGACTCAAAAAAAAAAAAAACAAGATATTTAACGAAAATTTCGGACGTTCTAGGAACGATTAAAAAATGTAAAAAAGTACCCCCAAAATACTTTGATCTTTCCTCTTAATAATAACATAAACATTTAGACGATAACATTTTTGTTTTCGTCAAGTTTGGCATCTTTTTCTTCATGATATGCCCTTTTTTAGCGATTTCATGGAGGTACCTATTTTTATGTCTTAGTTTTGTAAATCTCAAAACAACAGAGAAAATTACCATTTTGAATATACTGATGAGTATCTTCCATTTTTTTCTGAACGAAACATATTTAGACAAAATGAAGAGAGAATAGAAACATTATTTACATATCCAACAGTGAATAGGATTAACTTGACAGCGTTCTTTATGAAGATTAAACATCAATTCAAGCATAAGTTCTTAATCCTAAACCTAGACAAGCCCGATCATAAAAAAAAAAAACTGTAAACGTTAAAACAGCTGCTTATAAGGGAGCAAACATGGAAATAAAATCTAAATAATACAGAAGAACCAATATAAAAATCCTTCATTTTTTTCTGCAAAAATATGTCATTCGTCACTATTAAATCTCATGTTTAAATGATCGTCTGCAAAGGATAACTTATAAAATGTTATTAAAAAAAACTATTTATTCTCTTGTTATGCGAAAACAGCTCGTCATTGGGTGATGATAAGCAACTTGGTGTAAAGTGTTGTAGCCTTGAGCCAGTAGAAGCTAAACTTCGTAAATATCAAAACTTTCCATGAAAATATTTTGGTTGGGAAAGCGAGGGAAATCGCCGTTCTTTAACGTATTAAGTGCGGTAGAAATGCCCGTCATTTGTCGTTATTGGTTTTAGTTCACTGCGATGAAAGCATTCAAAGTTTGATAAACATTTTCGAATGTCAACGTTACGACAGACCTTGACAGTTGAATTTAGCAGAACTTGTCATTTAATATTAACATAAAAAGTCTACTCAGGCAATTAAACCTTAAGCCTCACAGCATCCCTTCCAAATTTTTAAATATATTTGTAAAATTTTCTTTGGGGGTCACCATCTTCGTCGACAAGCCTTCCTTAATCTCGTTGACAGGTAGAAATGTCTTTTCAACGCGATTTTCGCTTTGGAAAAGCATAGAAATGGCATGGATCCGCATTTGACGGGATGAATGACAGATCTGAATGAAGTGATATTTTGATAAAGAGCCGAGAAACAGGCAGTCACACAGTGCACACTGTAAAGCCTCACTGATGACTTGTGTAACTCCAAGGCAGGATGCTTGTTTAGACATGCGGGTTAATTTTCCCTTGAATATTTTAGTTAATTTGAAACATCGTCGCTGATTCTCGAGGTATTCAAAATGAGCAGACATACCTCGTTGGTACGAATATTCGAGGATAAAGAGGAACAGGCAGAAGTCCGTACAGATATATTGATATAATAACTCAAGTATAAATTTACAGAGCGAAAGAGGAGACGAAAAAGAGAAATTAGTTGCACTCAGAAAGGAAATGGGTGTAAGCGAAAGAAAGACAGAGTTAATTAAAATTGGGAAGAGAATGAAGGCAACAAGAACATGGTAAGCGCGAATGGAGAAAGAACTAAAGAGAAGAAAAAAAAAAAAAGAATTAAAAAGAGCCAATTCCAAAAGACGTAGAAGAAAGGGATCAGTTTTTAGAAAGACGTCAAAGAGAAGCAAGAACAAGAAAATAAATTTTTGGCGGGAGGGGAATCGAAATATATTTGATAGAAATTAAATAAGAATATAAAAAAGAGGACAACAAATAAAATAAAGCGTGAAACTAACAAAAATACAAGCGATAGTTAACTCAAAGGTAAAGACGGTTTAAAGAAAAGGCTAAAACTATAGACGATGCAAGACAGAATGACGATTCAACGAAGAGAAAATTCAATCGAAAAAACAACCACAAGAAAATGGCTAAGCCCAAGGGAAAAGGCGAACCGAATAAAAGACCACTCAATAGAAAAATGATTTTCAGAGAAAAGGCCACACTCAAGGACAAAGGCAATCCGAATAATAAAAAAGAAAATTCATATAGACAAAAGACAACTTCCATAAAGAGAACCGTGTAGAGTCTCTAAAAATATCTATGAAATGTGAATTAATCTCCACTATATATAATTAATTATATAAGTACGATCTCTACTCCCTCACTCCCTTTTACAGATGCACGACTTTCTCTCTCTCTCTCTCCCTCTCTCTCTCTCTCTTATATATATATATATATATATATATATATACACATACTTTATTTTAGGATATTACATCGAAAGCATGACAAAAACACAACATGAGTGCAGTCGCGTTTTGATGCGTATCAACGCATCTCATCTGGCGAATGTAAATTACTGGCGAATGAACGATTTATTCAAATTTAAAAGATTTCTTTCTTTTTCTCGTAAAAAAAATGGTTGCATTTTGATTTTAAATCTGAATAAGTCGTTCACTCGCCAGTAATTTGCAATCGCCTTATGAGGTGCTTTGTATACGCATCAAAACACGACTGCAATTGTGTAACGATTTTGACATGTTTTCGAGGTTATGTCCTAAAATAAAGAATATTGAATGTCCAGTGCATTTTTATGTTTTTGTCTGTAATATCTTGGAGGGTTACCATCTCTTAATTCTCGAAACTGCTGCTAGGAGACGCTCTCAGGACTATAAATACCCGGTAATTTTATTCTTGCTCATTTCTCCTGTTTTTTCGCTGAAGAACGCGCCCCGTCTTGGAAAACGCATGGACAATACACACACTCACACACACACAAACAAACACGTACGTACGCGTATTCACTCACTACACATACTTTGCATCCAAAATTTTTTCACATTCAATTGTTATACATATTATTGTCTTGTCGCATGTATACCTTTATTGTATATGCATTATCGTTTGTTTTTACATATATATTGGTTTTTGGCATTTCTTTACGTGTACTCACATTCTAAGTCTGCTATGTTTGTTGCAGGTATTTCAAGAGACACACATGTTCATTTCTCAACGCATACACTGGCCCGCAACATTCTATAGTATTCTGCTCTTCTCTGTATTGAAGACGTCAGCTGGTCGCGTCTTTGTTATTACAAAAGCAGACGAAGATGATTATAAAGCTTGGCGGGAGAAAGCCCAAGTCTTTGAATAAACATGTTACAGTAATAATAATTGAGAATTTGCATTATTTACATTATTCGGATTGTTATCTTCATTTTCATTGCCATATTCACAACGTTTCGGCCGTTGTATGCTCTGGCCTTCTTCGGGTGATTGGAATTTTGAATCAAACCCTTTATTTCGTCCACTGGGTTAGATTGTTCTAGTTCCACGTACCATACTGCTGTGGCCTGGTATTGAACTCACAACTATTTGGATATAATCATTAGATCTAACCAACATCTTTGTTGAGTTGAAGGGAAATAACTGAGATATCCGGAAGAGGAATGACACGTGGAAATAGAACAATCTAACCCAGTGGACGAAATAAAGGGTTTGGTTCGAAATTCCAATCAATTGAAGAAGACCAGAGCGTACCACAGCCGGAATGTTGTCAATAGTGCAATGAAGATGAGGATAACAGTCCGAATAACGTAAATAATGCAAGTAATCATAATACCTCATTTCAGAGATCCCATCACCTGAAGAAGTCTGGAGTGTACAACGACCGAAAAGTTGTGAATATGACAATGGAGACGAGGATAACACTCCGAATAACGTAAATAATGCAAGTAATCATAACACCTCATCTTAGAGAGGCGTAGGAGAAGGCCGGAGCATACAACGGCCAAAACGTTGTGAATATGGCAATGAAGATGAGGATAACAGTCTGAATAATGTAAATAATGCAAGTGATCATGATGCCTCATCTCAGCGACGCTTATCACTAGAAGAAGGCTGGAGCATACAACGGCCGAAACGTTTTGAATATGGCAATGAAGATGAGGATAACAGTCCGAATGATGTAAATAATCCAAGTAATTATAATGGCTCATCTCAGCGATACAGACAAAAAAAAAATATTTCCAATGTAGTCATTTTTAAACGGCATGTGTAAACTAGAACAGAGAGAAAGAAGCGTGCATCGTGTACCCGTGCGCACACGCTCGCACACACACACATACAGACACACACACACACGCACATATATATATATATATATATATATATATATATATGATTGCATAATTATGGATCTACTTGGATATATAGATAGATAAGCAGGTGCACCCAGAATTATTGTGAAATAGATCACTGAGGGCAGAAAGGAACAAAGCACCTGAGTTGATATGAATTCTGTATCACGGAGTCGGCAAGAATACACTTGCGTAGATTGTTAGAGATAAGATGTTTACTAAATTTACCTTTGCCTGCCTCTAAACTAAAGACTGGGAAATGTGTAAGAAGATTGTGTTGTACCATCTTCCAAGTACAGCTGGGGGTTCTATCAGACATGACATCCCAAGAGATAGGGAGCTGGGAGAGAAAAAGACGGAAGGCGTAAGAGAAAAAAAAATCTAATCACCTCCCTATGGTGGCAAGATGTGATGCAAGATAAATTTAATGTCGGGTGGCGTACTTATAATGTCAACGGTTAGGGCTGACCTGTCTCTGAAATCTGCAATCAAGCTGGCTTTGGTATCCGCACACACACACACACACACACACACAGATCGAGAGAGAGAGAGAGAGAGAGAGAGAGAGAGAGAGAGAGAGAGAGAGAGAGAGAGAGAGAAAAATCCTTTTGTTCTTTTGGTTAAGAAATTTTTGAGGGGATTCTAAGGACTGATAAAGCAAAATATATTAAGATACAAGTGAAAAAATTCTAATGTAATCACGTCAACGAAGACAACAAATATGAAATTCTAAATAATTGAAAAATGTGCAGCTTTACTTTATTTGTTCTTGTTTTTTTTGGTCTTTTAACTCCCGAAAGAATTGGTTTTCGCGTGGATTCTTTGCCGACGTGAGTGCCACAGAGATAAAGACGAAGTGAATGAGGTGAAGTGAAATGACGCGTCAACATATATGATATTCAGTAGATAGAAATGTATACGATATAAATAATAGATTTTACAAATGAATAACTTGTACGTGGAAAAAAAACCAAAAAAACATTTCACATTTTATGATACTCGCCCACGTTCATAATCAACTTTCCTGTACAGACGACTTATACCAGATACTACACGATAACACTGCAATCACCGATGAAAAGAGGTCTAGATGAAATGAAAGAATGAAATATAGATACAGAGAAAGGGAAAGAGAAAAAGAGAGGGAAAGGCAGGCAGGTAGGTAAGCAGACAGACAGACAGACAGACAGACAGATAGAAGTCAATGGAAGGATTGCTATAAAGCTAACAACATTAAAACAAAATATAAAAGTCGTAAAAAATTGCAGAATAAAGAAAATTGAGGACCACTATTTATGCATTACACTGACCCCCACTGGCTCTGTCTGGTCAGGTGAGGAATACAGAAAAAATGATTGTAATTGATATATCTATTTCAAGTTTCTTTAGTTGGTCAGGTGGTAACTGAATGATTTGAGTTGGCGTCTGGCCGAGAGGCTACATGTAATCTGCCCTCAAAAGTCGTTAATAACGTTATCCCTTTGTTCTATATGATCTGCTTCTTCAGGTCCTTCTCTTAGATTATACAGTAAAGAAAGTAACATATTTCTGGGCAACAATTTCAGTTCTGCTTGACATGTACTTTGGGGAAATGACGAGAAAAATTATCGACATGGGGATTAACTTCAGATTTGCGAATGTTTTATGTTTTAGAACACACGCTGAAGTCCACACTAGTACATAGACATATCTTCCCTACACATTCACGTAATCTATATTCTTTATATATATATATATATATATATATATATATATATATATATATATATATATAGAGAGAGAGAGAGAGAGAGAAAGAAAGAACAGTAAGATATATAATCCGGTGTTCTTATTGATATTTTTTATTTTTATTTTTACAAAACAGGGCTCAATGTAAATTTACAGAGCATAAACATTATAATATTTTAAATCAGTTAATTTAATTTATAATATATATATATATATATATATATATATATATACATGAAGGTGGGCTGAACAACCCCGATGATGAATCACTTCCAAAAGGAATTTGATGTGTACTATTTTCGCCAGTAGACTGAAATTTTCAGCACCTCTAGTTATATATATATATATATATATATATATATATATATATATATATATATCTCAAGATTCTGAAATACAGAAGTTTTGAAACCATAAACTTTGGAGAGTTGAATTAAAGGAAAATAACTTAGACATCCGGAACTAGAGCAAACCACTTGATGGACAAAAATAAAGGATTCCGTTTAAAATTCCAATCACCTGAAGAAGCCTGGAGCGTACAACGGTCGAAACGTTGTGAATATGGCAATCAAGATGAGGAAAACTGTTCGAATAATGTAAATAATGCAAGTAATTATAGTACCTCGTCTCAGAGATATAGTTTGTTTAAAACTTTGGAGTTTTGGTTAAAAATCTTAACTTTTTTAATTACTATGTGCAATTTGTGCAGCATTTTGCAGTCGAAAACACATTGAATTGCAAATTCTGGAAAATTTAGATAAATCTCCAATTTTAATAAAACTTTTAGGACTTATTCAGAAGTGTATGAAATTATTTTTTGTAATGTGTCTTCTTTTTAGAAAATCATTATATATTTTTTTACATCTGTTAGGTTCACTCATTTAATTTTTTATCTGTTAGCTTCACTCATTTAATTTTTCATCTGTTACCTTCACTCATTTAATTTTTTATCTGTTATCTCTCACTCATTTAATTTTTTATCTGTTAAAATAAAAACTTTTATTTAATTTTTTATCTGTTAGCTTCAAATATTTAAAACATCTGTTACCTTCTAACTCATTTAAATTTTTTATCTGTTACCTCTCATGGGTATTTTTCATTATGTTATTTTCACTCATTTAATATTTTTTATCTGTTATTTTCATTCATTTAATTAATTTTTTAAGCTTCATTAATTTAAAAATTTTATCTGTTACTTCTCATATTGATTTATTTTTTATCTGTTAAATTCAACTTTAATTAAAAAATTTTTGACACTGTTACCTTCAGGCATTTAATTTTTTATCTGTTATCTCTCACTCATTTAATTTTTTATCTGTTACCTTCACTCATTTAATTTTTTATCTGTTATACTCTATTATCTCATTTTAATTTTTTTATCTGTTCAATTTTTGTTTATAAGTAGACGTCTTTTATATGCCAACTTCGAAATTTTAACGCAATTAAATAAACATTTATTAACTTAAAAATTTTCTAAGAACATTTAATTAAATTAGTTTATTTATGGAAAGAATATTTTCAAATCACATAGCAGTATGCAACTCATAATTAGGGAAGCATTACATATTATTCACCTGCTATTTAGCAGTGGAGATAACGTTCTAAATGTTTTCTAAAAATAGAAGTGATGGCCAGGTTAACCGACCACACATAGCACGTGACCGCCAAAAAGCATCCAACTCCCGTCGCACAAAGTCGACACAGCAACACTACTATGTAGAAACCGCTCACAGAAATTCACCATCCAAAATCAATATCCTTGATAATGGCTAGAGAACAAACCGAAAGCGCTTAGCACAATAATAACTATGGACAATTCCTATATTCTTTAAGTTATAATGCTGAAAATATATATAAAAAGATTAATCAAATATTCATTGTCAAAAGGCTCAAAAAACATTTTGGATGAATTTGTGTATATACATGCATATATATATATATATATATATATATATATATATATATATATATATATATATATATATAGTCTATTATATATATATATATATATATATATATATATATATATATATATATATATAAATTTTGAATATAAAAAATAAAAATTAAAATTGCTTTTTTGACACTTATAATTAATTAATATTCTTTTCGTTTTTTTTTTATTATTATTTCATTTATATATTCGATAATAGTTTCGATCAATATTTTTTATCATTATCGGGAGGTGAAATATTTCATCTCATTTGCTGGAGCAGTAAACTATGAAATGTCTTTATATATATATATATATATATATATATATATATATATATATATATATATATATATGCACAGAAGAAATGGTTTAAAAAAGTCCATTTCGTATTTGAACAATGAGATTCTCGTTTGAGATTTGTTGCTTTTATTTCACTACCTGATAATTTAATCGGACTGGAGACTTTGATTATAGAAAAAAAATGTTTTAGTTTTAAAGTGCCTGAAACATTCGTTTAAAAATTAAATCCAAGCCTAATTTTGAAAACCGTGAAAGAACAAAATGAACAGAGAAAGTTGGTCTTGTTCAAATTGTTAATCACATTTTAACACGCTTTTTCCCAATTTTAGTAACAATTTTACTCAATAGTTGCAAAGTAAACAAACCACAGGTGGGCTCTTTGGGTGTCGAAAAAAATGCAAATGCACCAGAGAAGAAATGCAAATAGGGATTAAAAAGCCGCCTTAGTAGACATGTATCAATGAATTTCGAGTGGGTAGCTATATATATATGCATACAATATATGCAATGCAGTTTCAGTTTTTATATAATTTATATTGTGTTCGTATAATTATTAATTTTTCAGAAAAAAATTATATAAAACATTATTAACCATATATTTCTATATTTATTTTTCATTCTCAGGCTATACTTTTTAGCCATTTTAAAATTTAATTTTATTTTACCAACTGAATATATGTATTGCTTTTATGCATATATATCTAATATATATGAATGTTTTATTTTCATAACACTTCAGCATGTGTTGCAGCCGTGTTTCATAGTTGATATTGTTGGTTGTTGGCCTTTTATTTTTTTTTTTTTTTATTGCACGTCATTATTTTTAAATGATTTTGTACATGTTATATGATGCTATTGTATTTATATTATCCACTACCAAAAATAAATATTGAAACAACTCAACGCTAAAATATACATATGAACTATATATATATATTATATATATATATATATGTTGATGTTGATTAAAATATATAAATATTTTATATATATTATCCGTATAAAAAAAAATCAACCAATATATACTCTTGTATTCTTAATTATGGTAGCCAATGCTTGGAAAGATATAAAATAGCAAATGAAATAACAAATTTTTTTTATTGTATATTAAATTTCAAAATTTTAAATTCAAATTTAAAATTTCAAGTTTTTCGAAAAACTCATAAACAAACAAATATTAATAATAATTTTTTGAACACAAAGTATTGATAAACTAAACAAATATTATTCTTCTCAACAATTTAATTTAACTAGATGAACAATTATTATAAACAGGACGAATTTATTATACGGAGAATTATCTATATATATATTTCTGACGAATTTATTAAAAAGAAAAAAAATTTATAATATATTACAGGAAATTTTTTCTCGACCGTAAAATTTTATTATCACTAATTTAAAATAAAAATTATTAAATCTAAACTACAAATGACCAATTATTTTAATTGTATCATTTTCAATTATATATATTTTGATGTTTAGATTATCACAAATTGGAAACCTATATCAGACACACTAAAAAAGGAATGAAATGCCTTACGTAATCAATTATTTGATCATATTCCATAAAAAACATTTATTAATCTGATTCACACTATGTACCTATCATGGTTATGGAAGAAAATCTCAAAGATTGATGCTTATCGAAATGGAAAATCCTAAAAATACATATATATATATATATATATATATATATATATATATATATATATATATATGGGAAAATTTGAGGAAACCCATATCTATCCAATCATTGGTAGGACATAAAAAAAATATTCTATGCAAGATATATCGATGATATATTCTTTGTATACACGGGTAGTGATGACAAACTTACCCAATTCCTTATGACCCTAAACACAGTGCACGACTCAATTAAGTTTGAATATGAAAAATCCACAACATCAGTAACATTTTTAGACACCCGCATTTACATAGATGAAAACAGGAAACTACAAACGACACTACTTGCACTAAAAATCACCGACACCATATAACTATCTACATATTTAAGTATTCCCATATAAACACCTCAAAGCGAACCTTCCCTATTCACAAGCACTTAGACTCAGAAGGATATGTTCCAACAATGAAGAATTAAATAAACACATTGAAAATCTGGAGCATCAATTCACAACACGTGGCTATAAACAACACCTAATCAGGGAACAAATAAATAAAAGCAATTTCCACACCTAGAGAAGACACCCTAATATACAAGATTAAAAATAAATCTAGCCGCATTCCTCTAGTAACCACTTTTAACCCCACTCTGCCTCCACTATCCCAAATAATCAAACGTCGCTGGGAAATACTATATCTCAAACCAGACCTAAAAAAATGTTTAAGGAACCCGGCCTTCTTGCATATCGTAGACCTAAGAACCTAAAAAGAAATCATAGGTAGTAACCACATTTTTCAGGGGACAAGGTAATCCGTAATAAACTAAGAACAAAAAACAACAGGATTTTCCCAACCATGTAACAACAAAAGAAGTTTATGTTGCAAACCATATTAAAAACACGAATTCATTCACTAGCTCAATCACTAAATCTACTTTCAAAATCTACCACGATTCTAACTGTAGAAGTCAAAACATAATTTACCTCCTAGAATGCACACTATGCCAGAAACAATATGTAGGAAA